GGTGAGAGCATGATCCCTTGTTCACAGAGCAAAGCAAATCCGAAAAAGCGAAAGGAGAAATCTGAGGTTAGATTATGCGGTTCATATTCACTTAAGTTCTCTATTATTACGAGGTTTATTATTATGCACAGATTTAGCTGGTTTACTTATCCTATTAAATCGCCATGTTTGTTGATTTTTGCAGAAACCTGATGAAGATGAACAATTTGTGTCGAGAAATGTAAGTATAGGTTTTGTGTTGTTATTCTTGACATTGGGGCCTTTTTTATGTCACGAGTCTGATTTGTTTTTACACAGGAATTCAAAGAAATGAAGAAATCTATCAAAGAGCTGTCTAAAGCTATGAAAAAACTACAAGAGATTCTGCTGTCAAAAACCAATCTACTAGAGGCTTCATTGAAGGTGGTGGTGTTTACCAGGGCTCTGTTTATTTATAGCTCTTTGTTTTGTAGGTTGAGAAAATGATAAACTTTACTCTTATCATGTATATTTTCTTTTAATTCTAAAGAAATCCTGTTTTGTCTTTGTCTATAGGAGATAGAAACCCCAAAGAAAAAGGAAGAAGAAACCCCAAAGAAAAAGGAGGAACCGAAATCTATTTGCTGTTTCGATGTCGAAGAGGCTTATGGAAACAATAGTCAAACCTTATTCGTCAAGGGATTTGAAAACTTGCGACCTAGGGATGAAATCAAGAAGGATTTGACTAACATTTTTGGTTCTTGTGGAGAGGTCACAAGGGTTTTTGTTCCCATAGAGTGTAAAATACGTCTTCCCTTAGGGTAATTGTCACTTACTCCTCCAATTTTGTGACAGATACTCTATCAAGTTAAATGTAAAACTAACGATTGACTTGAGAGTTACAGATTTGCATTCATTAATCTGAAGAATGGTGAAGGCAATGACAAGGCGCTAGAACTAAGTGGAACTTACATGGGAGGAAGGGAGCTTAATGTGAAGATGGCTACGGAAAGTGGTCATTACTATGGCTTTACTAACTTTGCTGGGTGTGATCGATGTCTAGGGCCGCCACGTGAGCCTGAGTCCATACCTCACTACGGCGAGGGCTGGTTACCACGTGCGAAGATACCTGATGCTCTCTTAGACTGGTTTGCTTAAACTGGTAAAACGAGTATATGTATTTTGATATTGCAGCTGAGATTCACACCCATATATCACTTTCTTTTGGCAGTTGTTTATCGACCGGCTACATCAATCAAACTTGTTTTATTTCTTTTGTCTAATTATTGCGGTCTTTGTTTATTTATTTTCGTATTATAACTGCTAACAGTATGCTACATGTATTATCATATTCGACTTTTGTTTGCGTTTGAGCTATTTTTGTTTCTAATTCTGTTTGCTTTATATTTCCTTTGTAATGAGATTTTCACTTTACAACTAGTTGAATTGCGAACCACGGCCTAGTGGACAAAAATTTCAATTTCGATCCTAACGTTTGGTGTCTTAGCCTCTTCCTAAGCCATATTTATTGTCGTTTGAAGGGTCTCATCAGATTGACCTTTACATATATTTCTCGTTCTCATCTTTGATCTGTATGACTTGCAAGTTGCAATGTTCTACATGCTCACCATAAAATGTATCGAAGCTAGACAAATATGAGAGGATGGTCGTTAATGCAGTTGCAACCGGTATCCGTCATTGTACACAGAGAAACATCATTGAGGTCAAACAGTCTAGCAGTCGAGTTAAAAGGCCAGATCATGGAAGCTACCACAATGATAAAAAAAAAAAGACAGACCGGGCGTGTGTGAAGTTAGTTCACATACGCATGTGGTTAACACAGCAGTATAAGCAGCAACCAAAGTATGTCGCCTCACATGGTAACCTATCTGCAAATATCAACAATGGCAAGTCCTTTTCCCGTCTGAAATCAATAACCATATAAGTTATGGTTCTCAGGAAATGGTTTGTCCAGAAGCCACTGAGATAATTTGCTCAATGTCCATGGGTAGTGGGTTTCTCTGACGCCATACAAGCTTGTTATCTTGTGTAGATTTATTATTGTCAATTAGGAGAAAGAAGCAAAAGGAAATATTTACTGAACCCGCAAAATGTTCAATGCTTTTCTCATGTCCAATTTCCCCATTTTCCTCTCCATCTCCATTGTTCCCGATTTGCCGGTCTTCGAAGTGGAACTGTGGCAGTGACGAGAGAGGAGAGAAGAGATGATCCGATGTTTTTGAGGTAACTCATAACACATTTCTTGAAGTTATCTGTGGCGCTTTCTCGTTTTCTTCAATTTCGTGTCTGATTGGTATCTGTTCCGGTCTTAATTGTTCCATGTTTGGTTAGGATTTAGAGAAAAACCATGGCTGGAGCTGGAACAGGAACATCTATGCTTGGATCTCTTCTCTTGTTTACAGTGATCCTCTCTCTTCAAGAAATTTACAGAGGAAAGTTAGCTTCTTCAGAACTGTTCACGATCCTTGGTGGATTCACAAGCTCTCTCCTTTTTCTCTTTTCTCTCACTGTAAGTATGCTTCTATAAGAAATTTAAGATCTTTCGTTTACTCGCATTCCGCTACATTGTTGAGAGTTACGGTTTTGGATTGTTGACTTGGATTCTTTTACTTGCAGTTCAAACTTCTTTGCTGCAAACTTGTACTGCCAACAAAAAAAAGAGTAAACATTTCAACAAGTTTTTTTTTATTGGACCAAACATGTTAAGTGTTTACATGAAGCTAATGAAGAAGCAGGGTGGTTGCTACTTTGTGTTGACTGTTCTTCTTCCTGACTCTTATTAAATAACGCATGCTTCCAGATGTTTAGCCGCTATACGTAGCGTTATTTTTGTTTTGGTATAATGCTCTTACGTAGCGTTAAATTAGTTTATTCCTCTAAATTACTAGTCACACACGCTTAAATATACAAACATTATTTCATTTCCCATTTAGAAGGGTGCATGGTTTATAATTAGACATAAAATATTCACATTTGATGTAACATTTGCTTATATATATGATTATATATGAAATCATCTGTCACATATTTAGTTTCCTTTAATGTATGTATTGTATCCTTAATTTCTTGTGATTGAGTTGTACATTTTGTATTATATATTGAGGGAACTATAACCTCTTTCATTATATTCTCATCTAAAAAAAAAAAAAAGATGATAAACAAGACCGAGATGTTTGTAACCATAGGGACATTATGGTTACTAATGTCTTGTGGATTACTAACTTCTCCAACATATGCAATGTCAACAAAATCTTTGTCGTCCGAAATTTATGAATCAAGCTTAACCCAACAAGTGAAGTCAACACCTCTAATAGCTTATGGAACCTTACCAAAGGCTCCGAGACAACCTTCGGCTCCATCAAAGAAAATCCATGGTCGACCTCCACTAGCTCCTCCAATAGCTTTTGAAATAAGCTTACCAAAGGCTCTGAGTCAACCTTCTTCTGGTCCATCGAAGTGTGGCCATCACTGATCATAATAGATTTCGGAACCTTACCAAAGACCTCGGCTCAATCTTCTGCTCCAATATTGCTGTGAAACCAACAAGCTTTTCATAGACCTAATCTACTATGATCCATCATATTTTAGTACGATATTTATGTTTTTCTTTTTTTAATGTCGATTCCTATCATTCTGAGGCTTTCTGTTAATTACAAAGTTAAGGAAATGAAATGGTTGGTAACATTTTATAGTTGAATAAAACAAATGATCAAAGTTTGTTTCACATCTTTGATTGCAATTTCTTATCATTACGAGGCACTTCAGGTGACTGGATCGTACTTCAGTCGCCTCTATACAACGAGAAATAACCACCTTATACCCAAATCGGTCCAACGATTTGCCCCATGCAAATCTAAATAAATCGCGTATTTTTCATATATTATTCAAACTATAATATCAAAATCATCACAAGAAAACCTTATTACACTGCTTCCATAAACTTTGTCGTCGTTAAAAGGTCGTTTTTTCTAATCATAATTTGACTAGTAAAAGTCATGATTCGTATATATCTCTGTAATTGCTTTGGTGAATGTTCAAAAGAGAAATTACAGAGATATATACTACAAATACAATATGCGTATCAAACTTTCCTAGAGTACTACAATTCCAATTGATTACAACTTCGTATTAAGGATAGTGAATAAAGTAATAGGGTAGCTCATGTGATACAATTTGACATTAATTGAATGAAAGTATAAAACGTATTCTAAACAGAAAATCAAAAATAAAATATGATAGGAAATTTCTGTCTTGATCAAATAACAAAACAATGTTTGTTCATTGACACAGACAAAAAGATTCTAATTAAGTAATAAATCTGATTAAATTATCTAACTGATGGGTTTTTTTTTTACTTTACATCAAAAATATTTGTTAGTAAAATTCTACTGGATAATACAGAAATATGTCGTTCAAATTTCATGAACTGAGCTTAGCACAAAAAGTGAAATCAACGAAGCAAAGAGAATCATCTCCTTCAGAACGTTTTGGAATTTTACCTAGACACCAGGCTCCACCTTCTTGTCCGTCACCGGGAATCAACAAGCAAGTCCCATAACACCATTCTCATTTCTGATATTCGTCCTACTTTGCGAGTTTTTTGTTCATGACAAAGTTTGAGAAACTACTTTTTTTATCAGCATTAATAATACAAAATCATAAAATTTTGCTTTCATATCTTTGATTACCAATTTCCTACCATTCTTTCGAAGCGGTTAGGGTGTGGTTATACCGCACTTCAAAAGGCAGTTGGAACCACCCAAACCATATCCGTAGCTCAGAACTCTGTTTCACATACTTATAACGAAACTACCCTTTATATTGATATAAGTAGTATTTTCATCTATCGATCGAACTGAATACATTTGTTTGACCCATTGAGTTCTTATCAACAATATCTACAAGACGAGGAAAACAAAAAGTACCGAGAAACCTTAGCAGAGGAAGAGCTCTTGTGGCAATGATGTGGGGCAAAACTTCTTTGCTGCAAACTTGTACTGCCAACAAAAAAAAAAAGAGTAAAGATTTCAAGTGGTTTTTTTTTGGACCAAACATGTCAAAGTGTTTATATGAAAGCTAATGAAGAAGTGGAATGGTTCTTACTTTGTGTTGACTGTACTTCTTTCTGATTGCAACTACATCACCTGAGGGATTCTCATGACAAAGCTGAAGAAGATTCTTAACGCATGCTTCCAGATGGTTAGCCCTGTACGATGTGTAATGCTCTAATGTAGCGTTCTGCAATAAGAACACTGAGTTGAAAAGCTAAGAAGTAGTGGGGAATATAGAAATGCAAATTCAGTTTTTTTGTCATACCCATGGTTTTCTTGAAGGGTGTAGTATGTATTGTGCCAAGAAAACTGCAGAGGCTGCGATGAGTGAAGGAGCGTATCCAAGCATAGTGTAATCTAAGAGAGATAACTCGGTGAGATAACCAGCTAGACACTCAAACAGAAGTGACACCTAATGGAAAGCAGTAACAAGTCAGCAAGCTATTGCGTAGAGAGCTCATCTTCAATTGTCATATAAAACTATACCTCCTTTTGGCCTTGAGCAGCTCGAACAAAGCGCCTACCAACCATATTTAACAGTCTAGATCAGCAGGGAACCACACAAAAGAAGCTGATTGAGGTCAACATCAATATGACAAGAAGCTACCTCAAAAAACATTTTGCGGTTGGAGTTGTTAATTCGAACTTCAAGTAGTTTAGTACAGAAGACTCCATCTCCAAAAGCTGCAAGAAAGATGAAAGGTTAGAGACTTATTATTACAGGCATATCAAACCACAAGAAGAAGAGGTTTTCCACGGAAGAACAAAACACAAACCTCGCTTCTTGAGTATGTGTTATCAGTGATGTAACAGAAATCCTCCACTTGGGGCACACACACTTCTTCATATTTTCTGTAATATCAGTATGTCTACTGGTTATTAATTTCATAATTCTGAAGCAGAAAAAGTATGAAACCTCATAGCAAAATTTCTATATTTCTTACGCTGCTACCATCATGCAAGCAACACCAAGTAACTGCAGGTTTTGCTTGGTGATTACATTCCCTGAAAGATACCGGTCTACATAGTTCACTGCCAAATGCAAAGTATCGGGCAAAAGCCTATACTCTTCAGCAACCTGTAGTTTCATGAAAATCAAGAGAACAGCTTCGTAAACATCTGGCCTCATCAATCTATACTAAATGTCTCGCTTTGATGAACCAGGATTCATCGAAAGCTTACCTCCACAAGCCAGTCAATCAGTATATAACGCATGCTAGCATTGATGTTTGACTGAATCCTCTCCATGTAATCTAGAGCCGGCCTTTTCTTTACCTGCAGAGAATCATAATCGAAATTCAGAAGCAGGGCGAGTCTGTGTTAGAACTATGGCAGGGGAAAATTTACAAAGCAGAACAAATCCTACCTCGGATTCACGCAAATGCTCGAAGATATCGCAAGCAATGACAGCACAAAGCTGTGGATCCACCAAATCACTATCAATGTTAACAATCTGATCATCATTTCCCAAATCTGTGGACTCTGCATACTCAAGAAGAGCAATACTGGGGCTCTTAAAAGATTCACGAGTGGATATTGACTGATCTGAAGCAAGAAGATTATCATTGCACTGAGGCAATCCAATGTCTTCGTAAGGAACGATAATCTTTGATTTCGCATTATCGAGGATTCCCAAATTCCAGTTACGAGATAAAGCAGTCTTTGTTGCCTTCTTCGATTGACCGATCTTATTCGAACAACGCGCCTTCATAGATTTAATCAAATTTCCAGATTACAAAACGCCATTTTACAGGATAAACCCTAAAACTAATTTCTCTCGTCGAACAAACACAGGAAATCGAAAAGGAATTGAAGAAGAAAGATTCGAAGTTAAACCTACCAGAGTAGACGACGAAGAAGAATTTCGAGATCCATTCTTCTGATTAGTGATGTCTCCGAGTGCGATGCGGCGGTTTCCGACATCGCCGAGTGGGACTCGAGTCTTGGTTACATTCGGCCCAGAAACTGGATTCTCCTCGGGTAGATTCTCCGATGACGACGAGGAAGAAGTTCGATTAGCCAAGGAAGACATTGTTGACGGAGAAATGGAAGATCTCCGACTCGCCGTCGCCTTTCTCCGATCAGATTTAGGGTTTCTCTTCTGC